AGTCAGAATTATATATTTTTTTTTCATATTATGCTGCAATAAAATTTAAATATCAGTTCACTTTTTTATTTTATTCAGTGGCCCCAATCCTCTTCGTACTATTGCTTCCCTCCAGCAACAAAAAAACAAACAAAAACAACAACAACAACAACTGTAAAAGAAGAAATTAAAAAGTGAAACAAATGTGCCTGAAATCCGACTGGAACGTCTGGAAGGATGTGTTTTCCATATAAAACTGCGTAACAATCCAGGTTTTTGGCTGAGATATTCGATACTCACCACATGTCTTACCTCCAAACTGTTTTGGCCCAACCGGAGCCAATGGCAACGTGAAGTGACGCAGCGCGCAGCGTCGTTTCCATGGAAACGATATCACAAGGAACGCTGAAGTTGAGTACAGTCCGTCTACGAAAGAGTTGACTGAAAAACCGGGACTTTTTAATCAAGAACTTGCTGCGGAAATTGAACTCAGCTATGAAAAGTGATATTTAGGCACAAACTGCAATTAGGGAGAGAAAGGAAGGTGCGCTGCGGCCATATTGGAGCTAAATATAATGCTCTGTGACACGGAGGACAGTGAGGAAAACCCTGACAGCAGTCAGCACAGGGTGAGTCCTAAACCATCTACTATGTGGCCCACAAGATTTACATAAAGCACAGGAAGTTTATTTTAATCTATGGAGTAAGAAAAATGTCAAAAAAAAAAAAACTAAGCGTAATCATTTATCCTAATTTGTAGGTCAATAATACAAATAAATGTGATCAGATTTATGTTTTTTTTTTCCCTTGTTGACATTCCGTAAAAATTCAAAAAATATCCACTGGACTTGGTTTTCAAAATTTGAAATCCTTGTTGACATCTTATAGATACATGTATTAACAGATCTTCATCTGAGATGAAGGTAAATGGTAAAAACTTTGAAAAAACGACTTAAGTGAAAATCACAAATACAAAAATCTATTAATATGAATCACAAATTCATTCTTGTAAATTTGTGATTGATTCCCAAAATGTTTAATATGTAACTAAATGTTTATAATATGTACTTGTGAAGTGTATTTTATTTATTTTTTTAAGATTTATATGCACATACAAATACTGGTTACAGTAAAAAGCGACAAAACGGTTAAGAAGACCCTATAGGGTTTTATAAGACACCTCTCATAAGACAAGGATTTAAAGTAGCGCAAAACTACAAGTCAGGATATCGAATGTATAAAATAGTTTGTATAATTTGTACATTTCTGACTTGCGCGGGTAAATTTGTGATTTGTTTTCGTAAAACTCTGATTCTTACTCATGAATTTGTGATTTGAACTCGTCTTGCTGGAAAGTTCTAAAGATTTTACTAGTATTAATAACTTCTGAACTAGTATTCTCACAAATCAAAGTCTGATTTCACTTGTATAAAGTCAGAATTCTGAGATTTCACTTGTATATTTGAGTTGCCAACAACAAACAAAAACACTAATCCTAAATTGATGTACAAAATTGAATTTCACTTGCAAATTTAAACATCTTATATTGACAGTTTCCTTGGTAATCGTTTTATTTATCAGGATTTTATGATCTATACAAAGAAGTGCATGGCTGTAAGGTGAGAGAAAAACGGAAATTATTTTATAGATTACAAGTGCACATTAGAAAAACGTAGATGTTCGGCCCCCTACTTGCATATGCGCAGAATAAAATGCAGGGAAAGTCTTTGCCTTCAGAGGTTGAGTCCCCTTGTATTTGAGGAACCCATCACATAGGTCAGAGATTCACATGTGTGAAGGTTTAACATGTGTCAACATGTCAGAAATGGTAGCACAATTGTAACCCAGTAACAGTAAAGGTAACCCCATCATGGGACTGGGGAGACTGGTTATGTAGATATTTTAGTTCCTGTTGGAAAATCAAATAAGAAAACATCTATTAGTGCATTTTACCGGCCTGGACTTAATATAGAAAAAAAAAAGAGCCACAGTTTAGAGAAAGAAACAGAAGGAAAAAAAAATTCTCTGTTTTTGCAGAAAAACGAAAAAAATGAATAACCGTCACCAAGATGAAACATGGTGGTGGCACCATCATGATGAGGGGAGACTCTTTTCCAGACAGGTCAGTAGCGAGTGGGCGATATGGATTTAAAACTTAAAAAGAACAACTATTAGCAGTTACTGCATAGGCTGTGCTACTCAGACTCTGGTTATATTAAGTAGATCAGTTCTGACAGTGGTGTCAAAAGTACACACATTTGTTACTTCAGT